GCCTGGTCCACCCCAACACATTATCAACCCTGTCGGACATCATGAGTGGTTGCATTTTTTTTGCATTTCGGGTTTGCATTTTTTTTGCATTGCATTTTTTTTGCATTTCATGTTTGCATTTTTTTGCATTTTTTTTCGCCTTGAATTTCTTTTGTGTTTGTGTTTGCATTTTTCTCGGCCTTGGTGTTTGCCTTGCATTTGTTTTGCATTTTGCTGTTGTTGGGTGCAATCTGGCGTTGCGCTTGTTTTGCTTTTTCTTGATATTGCTCTTCTGGTTTCACACGCGCTTTGGATTTCTTTGCAATATTAAAGCCGCACAGCTCTGTCTGTCTCTCTCGCTCTCTCATCCACTTTCTTGCTCGGTTATCTGGAGGTGAGGAGTCTGGTCTAGGACCTAGGACTTGTGGAAATGTACATATAACAATATGGATTCTTTCATCTCGGGGGCATGACTTTATTATATTCGCATGCCAAAATTTGGGCACGGCCCCCATTCATTAGCAGCTGGGTCACAAATATAGGAATACAATCATATGTAGCCCTTAATAATGCTACCACTATTTAACATAGACTGCTAATGGATGAGGGTAGGACCCAAGCCATCATTGCCCATGCATGGAGGACTCTAGTGTCACATAGGTTCCCATTGCCATAGCTCAGCCAGGGTCTTTTGGAGGTTCCATATATGTGTGCAACACAAAAAACTGGTAGGATTTAGGGCTTGGGACTCAGAGGCTCAGCGTTCAGGGAATTTAGGGCTTAAGGTTTACGGACTAGGAGGCCTGCTCCATTGTGCCCAGCATCCATGCGAATGCCAATGCAAAGTGCATAGCGTCAGTATAAAAGGCTTTGTATGGTGCGTCAAAGCTACTCTCTTTGCAATACTGCCAGCAATGTACGGACTACCATTATCTGGGGTTGCTTTGGAGTTTTTCGCAAGATTCTACAAATATTGGTGGTGCATAGGGGGGACGCCGTAATATTTGGAAACACACGCGACTGCATCCTTGCTGCAGCCCTCCAGGGCAGAACACATGTAAGTCCACGTGGACTATGACGCAGTTTTGGGCTAGGCTTCTTTTTAGTTTAAAGTTTCCAGAAGGTGTCACAATGGAAGGTCTATAGTCCCCCTTANNCGAAACTGTCCACATCACGGAACCTTAGCCTCAGACCCTAATGACCTAATGCCTAAACCTTTAATCCCCGAAGCCCAAAACCCTAATCCATACACCTTCGAAGCTGCCGCCCTGAACCAGTGACCTCACGGTGAACGCATCTACATCATAGGGGTCTAGCATTGACCCACAGCCCTAAATCCTGAACCGCTCAGCTGTGTTTTTTGACAGCTGTGGATGCAAAGATTTGTGGAGTCATTCGAGCTTGCAAGTTGTGGAGTTGACTTCTTCTGGCTCACCTGGCAGGGGACCCGATGGGCAGTGTTGTAGCGTGTAGGGGTACCAACGGGCACTATATGAAGACCTCCTAAGTCAGTATTTGGCGTATGGTCTATGGGGTGCGTATAAGGACTGCAGAATATGTGCGGGATGTATAGGGCCGGTAATGGGTACAATCGAGGGCTCCCTGCGGCTCCCTTTGAAGATTGCTCTAACCCTACACCCTGAACCCTAAACCTTACACCCTAACATTAAACCCCACACCCCAAACCCTAAATCCTCATCTGAGCTCCGAAGGCTCGCAGCACCCTTTGAAGATTGCTCCAACCGCAACCCTACACTGTAGCCCTACACCCTGAACCCTAAACCCTAAACCCCAAATCCTCATCTGAGCTTCGAAGGCTCACGGTGCTCCCTTTGAAGAGTGCTCTGACCCTACACCTCGAACCCTAAACCCTACACCTCAAACCCTAAACCCCACACCCTAGACCCTAAATCCTACACTAGACCCTGCACCCTAGACTCTAAAGCCTCGAACAAAAGCCCTCAATCCTAAACCCTAAATCCTCATCCGGGCTTGGAAAGCTCACGGTGCTCCCTTTGAAGATTGCTCCAACCGCAATCGTACACTGTAGCCCTACACCCTGAACCCAAACCCTACACCCTAAGCCCCAAATCCTCATCTGAGCTTCGAAGGCTCACGGTTGTTCTTGCAAGGGAATGCCCAGCCCCATCGCGATGAACTGTCCAGTCCATCACTGCAAGAAAGGTGCGCTACACTGCTGAGCAAGAAAGGCCCTGCAAGCTGCAATGCTGTAATGATGGAGGGCGCACCAGACTGAAAAGCTATAGGCGCTCAGAGATTGACAAACTGACACACAGCCCTCATCCCCCAGCGCACTTTCCCAGTAGAAGCTCCCGCCCAATCACCATCCCGCATCCAATCCCCTGAGGCGTTTCATACGCGAAGCATTTGCGAGATTCTGACTTGCGTTCGGCAAAACTCGGCACCTACAATCACTCAGGACGCACGACTGCCGAGCTGCGCTGAACATTACTTGCTCTTGATGGACCTTGGGACCTTGAGAATCATGACGCACATATTGCTACACTGCGCTGCGCCCACCCGCGGAAAGCGAAATGTTTTCTTCCCAGCGTGATGTCAGACTCGGTCTCTGTTTGTGTTTGCGACTGAGAAGCACTCGCAGCTGCCACTAATTGTAACATAGTCACCAATGCACACTGCTAGTTTCCAGCTGCACTAGGAAGTTCACTGACACTACCCCCACATTTCGTGCCACGCTTGCGTGGACAGCAACTGAACTGCGACGGTGCCAAAACTTGATGCTCCAGATTCTAAGATTCTAGGATCAATACTTGAGATCGGCTGCTCACCCAAGCTTAGCTCGGGCACCCTGCAGCAAAACAGGCTGGATGTCCTCATCCTGAATGCTCAGCTTGTGGCCGATCACCAAAGCGTTTGCCTCGGTGAGGTCTCGCATGCACTTCTCATAGTGTTTGCCCTCGCTGCCCTTGGTCTCCAGGAGCTTGAGGCAGTAGGCCATCACAGACTCAATCACCAGGATCTGCACAGTCTTGGCGCCCTCCACGGAGATTCTGCTATGCGTCTCCCGCACTGAAACAAAGACCTCCTTGGTATCTGGCTCAACACCCTCCTCATGCCTCTCCAGGAAAGTGTGCACCTTCCCAAGTTCCTGCACGAGGCAATCGGCGATCTAAACCTAACCTCAACAAGATATGTGACCAAGAAACCAATCCTCCCCGTGAAGCACGACTATAGATTATCCCTCAAAGTCACTCACTCGCAAAAAAGGCAATACCCAAAGTCCATCCATCCTACAAAACAGGATTTCAGAGGCAAAACTTGGCGCACAACCTCTAACCCTTGGGAACAAAAAACATCCACAGTCCTCGCACAGCAACTTTACGCCCTTCTTCAAAGCTCTCCCGTCCAGTGCTTCCAAGTGATCATCGTACTGCGCCAGAACATCCTCCAAGGACGACTCGGCGGAAAGTCCCGCCTTCCACAAAGACGCCTTGCCGCTGGTCAAGTCCATCAACCGGTTTGTCTCCGCCAGGATGACCTGCTCCATGTCCTTCGCCTTTCGCGCCAAAGTGTCGTTCCAAAGCGGATTGCCCAGGTACTGCTCAAAGCTATCCGACATCTCATTGCCCATGCCGCACAGCTTGTCCAAGGCACTGTCAGGCTCAAAACCGTCCATCCCACGGATCTTCGCAACGATCTCTGCGACGCGAGCCCGTGTCTTGGTGTGCCTGGAGCGACCTGCCTCCATCTCAATGAGCAACTTGGGGGTAGCCTCATCCTTTAAAATTGCCACGACATCCTTCAACCGGATCATCTTCTTCACACCACTGGCCAAGAAGGTGCTTTGGGACAAGAAGATCGTAAGGAGACCCACCAGCTCTGCGTTCTCAGGAAATGCAGGAGTGGCGTTATCGTTGTAAACATACAGGGCAAGGTCCTTGATCAGGGGGAGCGCCAACTTGAGCGTGGCAGTGGTCTCGGAATCACCATCACTGGCCATGAAGCCCTCACATACAGATGATTGATTGCTGAAAGAATCTAAAGAGTTTAGGTCGCACTTTTAATTTGTACACCACCATCACCACTAGCATCACCATCACCACCATCACCACCATCGCCACCACCACCACCACCACCACCACCACCACCATCATCATCATCATCACTACCACCACCACTACCACCACGCAGCGTATGTTCATATATCACCACAGCTGCCGCACCCGCAGCAGCAGCAGCAGCAGCAGCAGCCGCAGCAGCAGAGGCAGCAGGGCAACCAAATGTGAAACCTCCTTTGAACCACCGCCAGGACTCAGAAACGAATCATTCCTGATGAGTTTGGTGAACAATAATACCCTACGCTACTCATACAGGGGACACATCGTTCCTAATGTTATGTGATGCGCACACATGGATTCCATGCTTCTGTTGACTTTACACTTTACACGCAAGATGAGCACGCAAGACCCAACTTTAACCAACATGAGACACACCACTCTCAAGGCCCTTGATCCAAAAAGCCCCGCTGATCAAAGCGACCTATACCCCTAGCCATCATCACCCTGCTCTTGCTTTTGGCTGCGCTACAGACCTGTAGGACATATGATGCGCACGACTGTCATGATGGGTAAGCAAATGGTCATGCATGGCGACGGTGACAATGATGATGGGGGTACATGCTATGGGCGGAACAAATAATTCTTACACCACCCAATATACCCTGAACCTTAAACACTAAACCCTATACACTGCACCTCGGCAACTACCTTAGCAGACCGCACGATGCTGATGAGGACGATGCCATCACAAATCGAAGCAACAAACATCTACAAAAAAGGCAGTGAACCCCCAACATGAGTCACGTGCGCCAAGGCATATGTTCACAAACATTGTAGTTTCCTCCGTCCACTGTCGTAAGGATGATGGTCAGAATTCAATGCTGTTGACGGCCATTATCTGAGTAAACATACACAACCAACAACAGGGGGGTCCTGGTGGGTGAGGCTGAGGAGCAACTTCCTGAAAGCGCAGTGTGCGACCTCGTAGTAATCGGGGCTGCGGTCAACTGGCGGGCACTTCTGATTTGTCACCTGCGCCACAACCTTTGCAATCTTGTCAAACTTCAGGTCCTGAGGCGACACCTGCTCCCTGCTGAGAAACTGCAGAAGGCGCCAAACATCGCCATGCCTGATGCTCTGCATCTGCGCCGTCATCCACGTCCTGAGCTCAGCCTTGACCGTGGGAATGCCCTCACTCGCCTCAAACATCGTCAAGCCCTCCAAAATGACATCCACTGTCTTGGAACTCAACAGGAAGCAGCTGTCTGCGTCCCCCATCAACGACTTGGCGGCAACTTGAAATCTCTCAGAGAGGGCCTGAGCAAACTTGCGAACCTCCGTTGCACGTAGAGCCTCCTTCAGTTCCTGGAACACACGCAAGGGCTGCGCCAAAACCTCTACGGAAAGCTTTTGCTCGAGCAAGCCTTTCAACTCGTTGGACTTTTCCTGCGCCAGCAGAGTCTTGCTGGCGGTTCGAACCACCTCCTGCGCCTCCTTGCACCAGAAAGTGTTTTCAGCGTGCAGCAGGTTCTTGATGTTGCGCTCAAAGCCAGCCTTGCCACTGAAACTGGTGAAAAGCAACACGTGCTTCGCGCTGGTCTCCACATCACTCACCTCCGGCTGAACCGCCAACAAATGCAGCCAACACTTGCACATGGCTTCCAGCTTGTCGAGCAGACACCACACCGGAGCTGCCGAGGTTGCCAAATCCCCAGGAGGAGACTTGCGTAGCCCACGAGCCTCTGGCGAACACAAGCTGCTCAGAAGGCTCTGGCAGATGGCTTGGATGGGAACAGAGGCTTGCTCTTGCAGCCCAAGGATGTCCAGGAACTCCTCCGCGCCAAACATGCGCGCCAGCCTCCGTGCCCAAGACGAGAGAACACCTGCAAGGTCCTTCGAGCCTGCAGTCTCTCCAGCCGAAGCCTCCGCATCTGCAGTCTCATTTCCAAGGTAGTCGTCAATGTCTAGCGCAAACTCTTCCTGCGCGCGAAATGGTCGTTATGGTTTTGCTCTACATTTCAGGGCCTGGGGTCTAGAGTCTAGAGCGCAAGTGCATGGCACGGCCTTCGTAATAATAGCAACTACAATACGCTACAACTGTGACTGCGCTGGTGTCCTGAGCAGTCTTCTTGACCGGCTTCTTGTGAGTGGCCTGGTACGCAAGAATCATCCGGTGGAGGATATTGGCGAAGGTGATGTGCTCTCCATGCAAGACTTCAACACCAGGACGAGACATCTCCTCCTTGGAAAGCAGCAGACAAAGGCCATGGAGTTGCCCCTGCAACTGCTTCATGGCTTTGGCCGCCCACTGGGTTGGGCCGGTGATCTCGCTCTGCTGCTTCGCAAGCATCAGAACCCCTGTCATGCTGTTCTTGAAGTAAGCCTCGGCCAGCTTCAGCTGTGTCTCCCACGGCATGACGGACCAAGAGCCACGGACAAGATCCACATATCCTTTCACATCTGCAAATGGCATGTTGCTGGGTTCTTGCTCACGCAGGATACTCGCAGCCTTGCACTCCAATATTCTCTCTTGGAGCTGCTCGGCAAAACTCATCTTGCCCGACTCCTTGAGAGTGTCCGCGATGCGCTGCGCCTGCTAAGCAAGGCACTGGACAACAATAATGATTCTACATCATGGTACGCACATTGCCACAAAGGACAACACACACACACACCGAATCATCAACACCTGCAGTTGAAATTGTCGTCTTGCTGCTACTGCAACTGGGTCAGCCAAATAAAAGTTTCTAAAACATGGTGAGCTTCGTACTTCGCATATTATTTTCAGGGAAACACAGACTACGTGAGTACTCGCGGCGCACAAAAACCGGTTTCGAGTTTCACGTTAAGGGTCTAGGACTGTGGCAGTGGCAGCGACTGCTGGCGGAAGCAGTTTGGACTTTGGACGCGCGAACTGAGGATATATTCAATATTCGATCTACAAGAAGCTACAACGCTACAAGACTGAATTAGCACCGTACCATCCAGTTACTCAGTTACGCTATCTGCTCGAAGTCCACCAAGCAGGCACACATTGGACTCACTCGAGTCTAAACTCAGGCAGTCAATCAGGCTTGGACTGGAATGACGCAAATCTACCCAAATCCACAATCCTAAAAGGCAAATCATACAACCCTACAACTTCACGCTACCATAGACTGTCTGTCACTGTGAATGGCTGAGAAGCGCACTCCAGTGAGCACAGCTGACAGGGACTTGGTGGATGTGATCTCCGGCACGTTCGCCTCTTCGGGGCCCAGCATGAAAACCTCCGTTTGCAAGTTGGCCAGGCATCTCACGGATGATCCCCGGCCACTGTTCAAGTGGGCCTCTGCAAGCTCATGCAAATCAGGGTCGATCAGATCAAGCACCTTCTCCTTGGAGCGCATATTCTTGGATCCCCCCGAGCGCCCAAGTCTGCAAACTTGTCCGCGCTTCCTGTCGCCTTGGCCTTTGCAGCCTTTTTCTCCGCTGCCTTTTTCTGCATCTCAGCCTTCTTCTTGGCCGCCTGCTGCTCCCTGGCCACAACCTTGGCGCTTTTCCGTGGGCCAATGCCCTGATCAGGGCCAGCGGCCCCATCAGTGCCTGAGTCACTGCTTGTGTCATCCTCCCCGTCGCTGTCAGACTCCTGCGCTGCAGCATTTGGCGGTGCAACTGCAGGGGTGGAACTGGAAGCATGGGCCTTGCGCTGGAACTTCTGCTTGGTGACAGCCAGGTCAGCCCCAACAGCTCCTGGCTTCAACTGGTCCGGGCGCTCCTTCATATGGTTCCTTGTGGCGTGCTCAAAGGTAGCGAAACCCTGAGAAGAAAGCACTTGTCGCTCCGGGCGCAACAGAACTTCAGACTGCCTTGCCGAGCTGTCGTAGTAGATGTGAACCCGTCGCATGGAGAGGATCACCTCAAGCGGCAAGCCTTTAAGGTTGACCAGTACCATCTCCTGCTTGGACCCAGGATTGGGCCAAGGGACCGACATTGTCTCAACACTGGCATCGGTTGGCAGCCGGCCCTCCAGGTCATAGAACTCCTGCGCGGTGAGGAGTCCCTTCTCCTCGAACACGTAGTAGCCGTAGGCCTGGTCCTCTGCAACCTCCGACGCGGGATCGCAAGGCCAGGGGTCTGCTGCCTGCTCGGACTTCGACCTGGCCATTTCGAAGTCGCCCTTGAAGTCCTTATCGTGCATTCTTGCACCTCCAGTGTTCGTCCACCAGGCATGGATCTTGGCCAGGGTTGCATGCGGCCGGATGTTGAGGCCTAAGTCACCGCACGAGCGGCAAATGTCGAAGGCAGGAAGTGACGTCTTCTTGTCAATCTCAGCAGCGAACTTGGCCTGCAGATCGGCAAGTCACAGCACTGCTCAGATCCTCCCATACTTATAATCACATGGTCGCTACCTATGAACATACTACATGTGTCAAGGCTGCATCCATGACCAAGTTGTTCAAATTACATGGGAACTCCAGCCTGACAGGACTTCTTGCAGAACACACACGTGAAGTTGCCCTTGCACTTCTTGGCTGAAGCTCCGGACGGGGTCTCCTTCACGGGCACAATCTGTTGGTCCAGCGCACGCTTTCCCATGCCGGCTCACACGTCCTGGTGCGGTGGCTGCTGCCTACAATCCCTAACTGTACTGTCAGCACACAAGCTGCAAGAATCGGTCGCAGGATGTCCATGTTCGGCTGCACACACTGCTGCACAACCGACACTGGCCAATCTGACTCACACATGTATCGATGTATCGCTATGGTGGGCAGACAAGCAAAATCACAAGACAAACAGCCGGGGAGGCGAACAGATGCTTGCTTCTTTCGGGCATTTGCGCACGGCAGTATGTCAGTATGCCACCTTGAGCGAGCGCGAAGCTGACTGCTGCGGCGGGGCTTCTCCGAGGTCCCCGCATTGAGTAACGATCAAGCACAAGCAAAGCAAAAACACTACACAATACACTGAATGTGTGTTCACAAATCATTTTGAGAGTCAGCACTCGTGTCCCGTTGGAAGCCCATGCGCCACAGGACATGTATCAATGCCCGACTAGACTCACTGACCTACGTTCACCAAGGGGACCAAGTATAGTTCAACATAGTATAGTAGGTAAAGTTGTTAAAATTATGTGTTTACTGCAGCCCCTCCCTCCTGTCCCCCCCCAGTGGGCCCTAGGGCGACACAGTGACACCATCAAGGTCGCGCAGTCAGACCTTTCGCGAATTAGCGATCTGCGCTGCCACGCTGTCTGTCTCCAGAAAGACACGGCAGCCCTGTCACGAAACTTCCAACTACTGAGCTTCTGAGCAACGTAGCAACTAGTGACTAGTGCCCTGGCATGCCTGGCAGATTGCCGGAACACACAAGAGCCCAGACAATGCTGCCCAAACTGGGTAAAAACATACCTTCGCCTGCAAGACGTCCCAGGCTTTTCGGGGTCAAGCCCGAAGGCACCTGGAACGTCCGTGGATGGCCCTGCCAGTACATCATTTCTAAGGGCGTTACTGCGCGCTGGTCACTGAACGAGTAGATGGCGCTTGACGTCGCCATGCATTTCGAGGTCTTCTGCTTGTTGCTCCATGGTTTTCTAATGGGGTTTTGCGAATAGTCAAGGTAGACGTCCTGCATCAGGTCCTTGATCTTGTTCCAACAGTTTGTCTGCTTGGCCTCCTGAACAAGGTCTGTCGCACGGGGACCCGCGCCCAAATGGTAGATGGCTGCCAAGTCCATCAAGCAACGAACACGGGCCGTGTCTGGAAGCCCTGGCCCTGTCACCCTCACACCGGGCATGTCTGTCCAAGGACGCAAATCTGTCGGCACACCCCATAGCTTGCGCAGGTCTGCATCTTGCGCACGCCACGCAGTGCCCTCGGCATCTGCCTCCTCAGCAAGTCTCAAACGCTGTCTAACAACTAAACACTTTAAGTGCCAACGTTGCCTACTTCACTGAACCTGCGCCCTCTGCCAAAAGCCAAAAGACCCCTTCTTTTGCGGCTGGCACCTCTCCGGAAATGTTAGCTTGCGGGGTTGCAGGCCAGTCGGGCGGTATTGTAGTTATGTTCCCGGTGATTCTTCTGCCCCACCTCACCTGCCCCATGAAGGTAATCCCACCATAAAACCCTGAAAAATAAATTTGGTGGCATCTGGGGTTGTTTTGATTGAATCTGGGTCTGGGAAATCGGCCAAAATCTGCAGTGCGCGCGCGCGCACGCGCGCGCGCGCGCACTGCACATTTTGGCCGAATTTCCCAGACCCAGATGCAATCAAAACAACTCCCTGGGCCTGGTAAGCCAAAGTCTGCAGTGCGCGCGCGCGAGTTCCCAGGCCCAGGGAGTCGTTTTGATTGCATCTGGGTCTGGAAACTCAGCCAAAATTGTTGTTTTGATTGCATCTGGGTCTGGAAATGCAGCCAGAATCTGCAGCGCGCGCGCGCGCGCGCGCACTGCAGATTTTCGCCGATTTCCCAGACCCAGATGCAATCAAAACAACCCCAGATGCCACCAAATTGACTTTGAAACTTGCACCCCCAAATCATTGAAAACCCACCAGCACCTTTCCCGAAAATGCATCATTCCAGGTTGTGGTGGCCAAAAAAAGGGTCAAAGAAGCCCGGCCAAGGGGGCGGGAGGGTGGAAAAGTGGTTCTTCGTCAGCCGTCGAAGTCGAGACTTCCTCGACCCCCTGGCTTTGGT